CCTACTTCTACGATTCTATGAGATTAGCCCTGCACCCTCCCCAAGTACCTCTGCAGTTTCCTTCCCCTGCCCAATCTGCTGCTCTGCGTTCTGTTCCCAGCCTTATGCTTCCAGCTAGATCCGCTATTCTGCTTTCTGTTTCCTTCCCCGTGTTCCTTGCCTGATTTGCTGCTTTGCTTTCTGCTTCCTAATCCATCTGCTGCTGTGCTGCCACGTGAGACATGCAGAGGCTACCTGTGCCTCTTGTGGCATCTATGCCAGGGTTGGTTACTCTTGCCGTATGTAATAGTGTTTGATATGACAAAAGTGAGGGAGACTCTCAAGTATATTGTTATTGCGTTTGCTCCTGTATCCTGGATGAAGCAATAAGGTGCCGTCCCGAAAACACTTGGCCCATCTAGTTCTTTCCACCCTGAAGGAAACAATAGGAATGATGTATCAATGTATTCAGGTTTCAGAAGAGGTTCTTAATGTTTTTTCTAGATGGCTGTACGTATTCAGCAGCTGAGCTAATGATATGTGCCTAACATCACTTGTTTCCAACAGGTGCTCTGGTAGATCAAGGTGTTTTTGAAGAGTTGGCTCGGGACTACGTTCCACAGCTTTATGACTGTATGCAGGACTTAGGTGTTATCTCCACCATCTCCCTCTCCTGGTTCCTCACTCTCTTTCTCAGTGTAATGCCATTTGAGAGTGCTGTGGTTGTGGTGGACTGTTTCTTCTGTGAAGGAATAAAGGTGATATTCCAGTTAGCACTGGCTGTGCTGGAGGCTAATGTGGACAAGCTGCTGAATTGCAAAGATGATGGAGAAGCCATGACGGTCCTGGGGAGGTATTTACTTATATACGCTCCCTTTCATTTTTCTTTTTAACTTTCTGAAACGTGTTCTGAAACATGTTCTGATTCAGGAAACATTTAATTTATATCACTGTTCTCTCTGTAAATCTTCTAGCTGCTTCTAGCACCTTCTTTCAAATGGGAATTATTCATGTGCAAGGGTTTTTGTTATATATACAGTAACCAAATCTACCTATTGAGTTGGCCACAGTTTCAAAAAAAGTATGACAGTCTCAAAAGTGTACCAAGATGGAGTAAGCAGAGATGTTACTCTTTGTTATGAATCACTGCCCCCCTCTTAGTCAGGCTTTAATTTCTTTCAAGTTGCTGGAATATTCTTCTGTGTCTAGCTTATAAAGGTTTTCAGAGGGTTCTGGTAAAATATTTCACTTCCTGGCTGTTATCATTTTAAGTACAGTTACAGGGAAAAATGCCTGAACCCAAGAGTAATTAATGTTAGGAATGGATTAGTAAGAGACTTTGGTGGAATTAAACAGACAGTTGAAAAAAACAAACTTGGAGAGTGGCAGGACAGAAATGCAAGGCAAGTCAATAAATTTAGCTGAATCGTGCATTTCTGAATTAAGTCAGCTCTTTACAACCGTACAGCCCAGTCTGGGTCCTTTTTTAATTAGGATAAAGTGATACTGGTCTTCTCATCTTCCTGCTCAGAAGTAAGCTCTAACCCTTGTTGATGATTTATAAAGTGTTTGGGATTTGGAAAGTGTTCTGCAGTTGCAGGGTAGAAGACAGATAGTGAACAGCAGCTAAGTTATCTTGAGAGGAAAGCAGTTGAAGCTCATTACAGCCAGCTGGGGGGTTAAATAGGGGAGATCAAGGTTGAAGCACACCAAGCCTCTGTTCTAGCAGTCATGTGGTGTCCCACATCTCTTGCGTCGAATAAGACTCTCTCAAACAAAACATTTTTAAAACCTGTTTTGCCCATTGCAATCAGTTGCTTGCAGATTGTACCATCTAAGTGTAATCAGCTGGATTTGAGATGCTTCTGGCAAACGTTGTTTTGAGTTTTAAAAAACCCAACTAATTAATTCATTTCTGGCAAAATAGGCATCCCATTCAAATAATGGAATATACTAATAGGACGTGGTTCAGGGATGCTTATGTGAATTCAGCTGAGTTTAGTTCAGGGGGGGTGAAAGAGGGGAGGGAAGCCATGCTAAGCTTTCTCATTGTAATTTTTTTCTCCTTCTCTAGGTATTTGGACAGTGTAACCAATAAGGATAGTACTTTACCACCAATTCCTCACCTTCACTCGCTACTCAGCGATGATGTTGAGCCTTATCCAGAGGTGGATATCTTCAGACTCATCAGGACTTCCTATGAGGTAATTTAGGATATTACCTAGAGCTAGCCAGTGGACAGCAATTCCGTTACATGAAGGCCTTTGAATAATAATTAAACACATTTCAAAACTCTCTTGAAAAGAAAATTTTAAAAGATTGAATTGACTGAAACATTTGCTTTCAATATACATTTTTTCATGTTGCGTTATAATGTAAGATAAGAGCATTCCAAACCTAAAGTTACTTCAAAATGAAAAGGCAAAACATTTGCTTTTTTAAAAAGCGCAAGCCAGTTTTGACACTTCAATTTTATTTCAACTGAAATTTTGGGGCAATCGACTGGATTTTACAAAGACTTTTTTTTTTATTTTGATAACAACATCTTTTCTAGCATGTATAGGTCGATAAGAGTTTTTGCAGATTGCTAATTTAGGTGGGCATACAAAACTGAAAATTGGAGGAGTTAAAGCAAAAGAAGCAAAAACTGATTAATTAACCAATGCTCATAAAGTGCATACTCAAGCCCACAAAAAACTGCAAAACTAAAACATTTCACACCAAAAGAGTAAGTGGTAGTTTCCAGTCCTTATGTTTTACATTATAAAATAGTCAGAAAATATCCCTGATGTTAAATTTTGTATGTTTTATATGGCCCGGCAGGTGGGGGAAGAGGATCGAGCCCGTGTGGCTCATCCAGGGGTAGGGGCAGGGGCTCCCCCTGCTGTGTGTACCCCAGTGGAGGCCCCGGGCTGCATATGCCCCCCCTCCTTCCATCTGTGCATGGTGAAGGCAGCTACCCCTGCAGGCTGAGCTTTGCACCCCAAACCCTGTTGCAGTTGGCCCAGGAGCGCCCTGACGCCACATGTCGTCCATGTACAGATTCGGGGGGCGCGGAGCACATGCCCCACAAGAGGCAGGGCAAAGTGGGTGACTGCAGCAGCTGTGAGGTAGGGATTGAGACAGGGGCAAGCCATACACAGCTGGGGCAGAGCGGGGGATGGAGCCACAAGCGGCTCGTCGAGGGGTTGCAGGGAGTGGGGGGATGCACAGCCCAGGAGGGCATAAGGGATGGGCTGCGTGCCCCTAGATCTGTACGTGGGATGAGGCAGGCTGGGGTGGCACTGCGCTGTTCCTGGCGGGGGTGTTTGGTCATGCTGTGCTCAGGCCAGGCAGCAGCATCACTGGGAAGTGGGGGGGAGTTGCAGCCAACCCAAAATTCACCATAGCCCCCCTGCAGCCCCCACTCCCAGCGCCCCAGCCACCCAGCCTGAGTGCAGCGCAACCAAACACCCCCACTCGGAATAGCGTGGTGTTGCCCCGGCCCCAGCTCAGCCTGCCCCTCTCCATGTGCAGATCTGGGGACATGCACCCCCTATTCCCTCCTGGGCTTCATGCTCCTCCCCTCATCACACCCCCTGGATGAGACGGTAGTAGCTCCATCCCCCGCCCTGTCCTGGCTGTGCAGGGCTTGCCCCTGCCCCACTCCCTACCTCACCGCCATTGGCAGGGGGTATCAAGGCCCCAGTAGTGAGGGAAGGAGTGGGTCTAGGGCTGGAGCCTCGATCTGCACCATAGTTTTTTTCTAGGTGAATATAAACTTATAAAAACATAGCTCAATGACCTAGCTCAGGTTGGGACAGGTGGGTGCTAAAACCAGGCCACCACAACCACTTCTCCTGGCAGCGGCAAGGGGATCCATCCCAGAGCCACCAGTTCTCCCTGCATTGGCATGGGAGAGTGACTGCTGCAGAAGCTGCCTGATGCCAAACGTCACCAAAGCCCCACATCCATGGGCTAAAGGAAATAGCTCCACAGATGGGATCCAGCCTTCAGGCTGTAGGTTGCTGACCCCTGCCCTAGAGTACAGACATTTAAATTGGTGATAAATTTAGCTAAGTATCATTTAGTGCTCTTATTAAAGAAATGTTTTTGCCTTTAGTGTATTTAAATCTAGGCAGTGTGCCACATGTGAACCTTTCTTTTTCTTTTTCTCTTGGTGTGGTGCAGGTGGGGTTAGGCTGGTTTTATGGCAGACCTTCTGTCAGGTCTTCTACATCTTCCAATAGATAGTGAGGGCAGTCTGTCATTCAATGTCATTCAATAGATTTATTATACTTTCCTATTGGAAAGAATATTCTGTTTAGTCGGAGCCAGTATGTGGGGAATAATACAACCCTTATCCATTTAGCTGTATTGGAAGTTGTGCAAAAATAGCAAGATGTGCTGGAAAGTGACCATTTTCTTTAACATAAAGGACATCATATTCACTTTTTTTCCTGGAGGAATGGAAATTCTCTCTTACAGTCTATCTCAAGACACTCACATTGGTGGTGTACTGACTCTGAGAACTAAGTCAGAAAGTCGTATTATCTGAAGCACAATAATTTGCCACTTTTATGTAAAGAGACACCTATTGCTATGCTGTGAAAGTTTGTACCTTTCTGAACCAGTTACTCTCTAAGGTACCACCTTGCTCTCACTTCTGCCAGATTGATTGTCAGAGATGTGCACCTGATACCTTTTTATGAACACTTACAAAATGAGGGAATACCTTTCTACTTTTTTAAGCATAAGGAGCAAATGAAGTGTTCCAGATAGTAATGTACAGATACAAAGTCTATTTTGTCTCCCTCTTTCTTTAGAAATTTGGAAGTATACGAGCAGATTTGATTGAACAGATGAGATTCAAACAGAGACTGAAAGTGATCCAAACCCTTGAAGACACTACAAAGCGTAATGTGGTAAGTCTTTGAATTATCACCCTTTAAGATGTAGGGGTTATTTATTTTCTGAAATAAAAGTAGTTTTTAAATGGTACGTTTATAGTACGTTTTTTAATGTTAATGTTACATTTCAAAAGGTACGAACCATTGTAACTGAGACTTCTTTTACCATTGACGAACTGGAGGAACTCTACGCTCTTTTCAAGGTAAAGCTGAAGTCAAGATTATATGTATGCAGGAAATACATATTGATGTGATGTGAAAACAAGTGTCTTTTAATGAACTGATTAAATTTGTGAGTTGGTTAATGCTACCCTGTGCCTTCACAAAAATTGGAATTAGCAACGGGATAAATATGGCCAAAGACATAACTGAAAATACCGAAGAGCAATATTTTAAAAACTGATGAAATAATTATTTGTCTAAATAATTAGATTGAAAAAATCCTGAGGAAATCAGTTCCTAGGAGAAGAAAGAAGAGACATGCATTTGGGGTCATCTGTCCAATCAGCCCCCAATTAGGTATATATCATAGAATCATAGAAAATTAGTGTTGGGAGGAATCTCAGGAGGTCATCTAGTCCAACCCCCTGCTCAAAG